CTATAGTAATTCATTCCCCATATTAATTCATCCCCCATATTAAGTCCCCCCTGTGTCAATTCACTTACCTTTGCTCCGCGCGTTCCTCTCGCTGTATTCCCGCGCCGTTCCGGTCTTCAGGGCGGACTGTGAGAGGAGCCTAGCTCCTCTCACGTTCGTCACGCTGCCCCGCCTACACACATCCTGACAGCCAATCACTGGCTATCAGGATGTGAGTGGCAGCGCGGAGACTGGCCAATCATTGCATTTGAGTCCCTGCCGCCCGAAAGGAGGGAGGGGAGCGGGCGCCCGGCACACAAGAGCCGCGGCTTGCCGACCACTGGGCATGTCATCACAAATCATGAGTCGGGTGTGGGTCACCTCCGCCGAACCCCCCGAGACTGACTCACCGAACCCCTGGGGTTCGATCGAACCCAGGTTAAGAACCACTGTTCTAGAGTCACTTGCTCATCAGACAGAAGAGGAAACAGACAAAGTTCCAGTCAGAGAAGCTCTATGGAAGCAGAGAAGGCCAAATAGTTCCAGCGATATAATCCACCGAATAAGACACTGTAATACGAAAGAAATCAGCCACTATAAGATAAACGAAACAAGTCATTGTAAGCAGTGTTATATGAAGAAGATTGAAGTTATTAAAGAAGTTAACTAAAGTATTCGATGTGCTCTTTAAACCTACTGCTTCCATAGAGCGGCATTGGAGGAATTACAGAGTAAAATCAGTCTAATCCAGTGTTTCTCAACTCCAGTCCTCATGGACCCGCAACAGGTCATGTTTTCAGGATTTCCCTCAGATGAAACAGCTGTGGTAATTACTAAGGTAGTGAAACTGATCAAATCACCTGTGCAAAATAATGGAAATCCTGAAAACATGACCTGTTGGGGGTCCATGAGGACTGGAGTTGAGAAACACTGGTCTAATCAAACAAAAGAAACAGCAATTGCATAATTTTTCTAATGCCTAGGCACTACATAGTGCTGCGCCTGCCACATCCAACAAGTTCAAGGTGTGATGGTCAGGGTTACACAAACCTTTGGCCAGATAATGTAGCTACAGAAGAGTTGACACCTTCAACAGCTTTTCCTATTATTCAGTGTAACTGCTGAATATGGTATACAATGTTATATGTACATGTATGTACAATCAGGGGTTTATTTAAGTTTTTTGCTGCAAAAATCATCTGCCCCCCCACGGACACCGACCAACACCCCCTTCCCCTCCCACCGAGAGAGAGAGCCTGACATTGACCAACAACACCCCTGCCTCCAACTCAAGAGAGCCTTCCACCACCATCCCCCGGTGAAACAGAGAAAGACACTCATCTTCAAAGCTCCAGACATCCCTGGAGTCAGGCTCTACATACACCATCAAGCAGCCCGCAGCCTCTCTTGGATCCCACCTGGTTCCCATGGTGCGCATATCCCTTCTTTCATCCCTTCTTCTGAGGGGAGGTGCTGCCCCCCCCTGAAAAATTCCACCCTAGGCAAGTGCCTTGTTTGCCTTGTGGTAAATACGCCCCTGTGTACAATACAAATTCATATCTGACTCTCTGCGATTCCATGGGCCAGGTCTCTAAGCACCATGTCTAATATGTCTAATGTCTATTTCTAATATACTTGAAAGCCTTTTTCCATAGAATTTTTTGGGGAAGTTTTTTTTAGGTTGACAGTTTTTTTCCTCAACCCTTTGCAATTACTCAACTTGGGACCGGAATGCAGAATGTGATAACATATGATAGCCAATTTGTACACGCACACTAGGACCAGATAAAACAATGAACGTGTCTTTGCAGTTTGGAAGGACACCAGTGTCTCTGGAAGCAACATACACAAATACAGGGAAAAAATGCGAACTCCATGCAGTTTAGCTGTATAGACAAGTAGTTTAGCCCTTTATAGAAGATACTCTGCTACAAATCTCAAAAAATAATAGGACCGTTTTGTAGGATCTATAGATCTCTGCTGCAAAGTTGCCGTTGTGTGTGGTAGTTGTGTTCTTAAACCTGGGACACAGCCTGCAAGGGACAGATGAATATAAAACGGCACTGTCCCTGCAAATCCGGGACTTTTGGCAGGTGTGTAATATGAGATGCAATAAACTTGATCAGATTTCTGGCATTTTACAAGATGCAGTGTTTTTTACATTTTGCGATGTTACCAGGGGCGGACTGACCATTTGGAAACTCAGGTACTGCCCGAGGGCCCGGGGTCAGTAGGGGGCCCCATGAGATGCCCCCCTGGTACCTTTTTCATAGGCTTTTTTGAGTTTGGGCAAGGACAGAGGGGCCCTATGATCCCCTATTGCCTGGGGGCCCCATGAGTTGTCAGTCCGCCCCTGGATGTTACACAACTTAATCATTTAACTTGATCATGCAGTCTGAGGTTTTTCAAATACATTGGCAGATTCAGTAAATACGATCACATTTACACTTTGGCAGTGGACATGTTGTGACTGAACCAAAATTCACCACAAAGCATCTGAAGCCAGTGACTTCATTCATCTTAAAGAAAAAAATAAGCACCTTCAACTGTATTATTATTATTATTATAGGTACTTATATAGTGCCGTCAATTCACGCAGCGCTGTACATATATATTGTACATTCACATCAGTCCCTATCCCTCAAGGGGAATACAATATAAAGTCCTTAACCTACATTCATATATACACATACTAGGGACAATTTAGACAGGATCCAATTCACCTACCAGCATGTCTTTGGAGTGTGGGAGGAAACCAGAGTTCCCAGAGGAAACCCACGCAGGCACAGGGAGAACATGCAAACTCCAGGCAGGTGATGCCATGGTTGGGATTCAAACCAACGACCCTAGTACTGCCAGGCAGAAGTGCTAACCATTTAGCCACTGTGCTGCCCACATCCTTCCCAGATCTTCTTAAAATTTTTTGGGTCAATGGTCAGTATTTTTTTAATATTTAAATTACTATCAGTTAGTGGCAGTTAAAAAAAAAAAAAGCAAAAGGCTCACTATTGTTTCTGGGCTGTACTATGGGTGCAAACTAACATACACACATGTGGTATTGCTGTGATCATCAGGAGCAGGAGAAATTATTTTGGGTTGTTCTTGGTGGTTGGTTATGGTAGTAGCAAGAAATATACAGCTAAATTTAAAAAAATGTTTTTTTTTTACTATTTTGGGTCAGTTTTGCTTTGATAATGAAAAAAAAATCAGGAGATATCCGTTACCATTTACCACCAAATGAAAGTCCAATTTGTTCTGAAAAAAACACAGTACAATCCACCTGGATGTACAAAGTAGTTGTGATGATATGTACGGTTTTGCTAGCACATGTCAAAGTTGCAAAATTGTGTTTAGGCGTTAAGATTTGTTTTCCCCTTAGGCGTGACGGGGTTAAACAATAAGAAAACATGCCATAAATCAAAGAATAATCAACACAAAGGGCACAGTATGGTGGTGGTGGGCATAAGGGCACAGTACAGGAGGAGTCAGGCACAGTATGAGTTCTGGGTCATTCTGGGACAGCTTAGTAAAAAGAGGGACTGTCCCGGCAAATCCTGGACAGTTGGCAAGTATGATGTAATGCAAGATTATCATGGGGCCCCTATGCACCTGGGGCCCCTGGGCAGTGCCCAAGCATTAAGACAGCCCTGGATTACTGCTAATTAATATATATGTAAAGTACTGTGTAAATTGACGGCGCTATACAAGTACCTGAAATAAATAAAAAAATAAACTTGCAAAGCCATCCACAACTCTGCCCCCATCGACATCACCAAACTGGTCTCAAAATATCAACCAAACCGCTCTCTTCCATCCTCCCAAGACATTCTGCTCTCTAGTTCCTGTGTCACCTCCTGCCATGCTCGCCCTCCGGGACTTCTCCCGAGCTCCTCCCATCCTATGGAACTCCCTACCCCAATCTGTCCAGCTGTCTCCTAATCTATCCACCTTTACAAGATCCCTGAAAACCTTTCTCTTTAAAGAAGCCTATCCTGCTTCTACCTAGTAAACCGCCATTTATTTCCTCCATCAGCTCATCCCCCCCCACAGCTATTACCTTTTGTATCACTCCACCCCTCCTCCTAGATTGTAAGCTCCTAGGATCAGGGCCCTCTGTTTCCTGTTGTACCAAATTGTATTGTCACTGTAATGTCTGCCTTCATTTTGTAAAGTGCTGTGCAAACTGTTGGCACTATATAAATCCTGTATAATAATAATATCAAAATTGGAACTGTTTTTTTTTATATTTAACCGTGGAAAATTATATTTAGCAACATTGGCAACTGTATATCATGTAAATTTTGGGAGTCCAATGTAAACAGCATTATAAATATAGTCCTAGAAGGACTATCCCTTCAGATGTGGCACTGCTTTATTTTATAAGCTGCAATTTAGAAGAAAAAAAACTTTTGCTGAGGGAGTTACTGTTGTTATTGTCCTGCTAAACTGAGGACTAGCAGAACATTTTTTAGAATTTGCCCACACTAAAGATGGCAGACAAACAGCTTAGGATGGCAACAACAACGTGGTAACAGTAGGAACAAAGCGGCTTGTCAGCCATCTTTAATGTGGGCTCACGGAGCCAGCACTCCTGCGAGAGCCCACACTAAATATGGCTGGCAAGTGCCAACAGCAACGTGGTAATTTGAAAAGAGGGCAATTCGGAACAAGAGCGACTTCGTAAGTGGGCGTCTTCCTCCTTCCTTCTCCAATCACCTCCTACAGTTTTGTAGCCAACCAGCGCGGGGGAGGAACAAAAGAATATCCATTCTATTCTGCATCTGCCTTTCCTCATTGGTCAGTCAGCCATGCTGAATACAATTGGTTGATTCTCGCGTGCTCCTGAATGGCCGAGGCGCCTGCCTTGACACGGTTCTTCATTGGTTAGGCGGAGGTTTCTCTATGACCGTGATTGGTGGAGCCCTCAACCGCGCTCTATGATTGGCCTGGCGGGGCGGTTGCGCATTGACGGCTTGTGGAGAGCTGTCTTCCAGCTGGAGAGCCGCAGGTAGCCGGGCACCATGTTCCGCAGGAAGCTGCAGGCTCTGGACTACCACAACCCCGCCGGCTTCAACTGTAAAGGTGAGGTGCGGGGGAGGTCTGAGCCTGGCAGCGTTACCCAGAATCCTCAGCGCTGCCACATGGAGGGGGAGGAGGGCACACAGCCATTGTGAAGTATGGAGGCCAGGAGAACCTGACTGCCCTCCCCTCGTGTTCTCCCCCCTGGCAGGGTCAGACATGACAAGACTGTCCCAGCATGAGGGTGACAGTGCCAGGACTGCTTACATGTCATTAACCCCCCCCCCCAACATGGTGTCAAAATACCCCCCCCCCCCCCCCCCCAACATGGTATCAAAACAGCCCCCCCTTCCTGTGGTGTCAAAATAACCCCCCTCCTATGGTGTCAAAATAATCCCCCCCCATGGTGTCAAAATACCCCCCCCCTTCCTCCTATGGTGTCAAAATACCCCCCCTTCCTCCTATGGTGTCAAAATACCCCCCCCCCTCCTCCTATGGTGTCAAAATAATCCCCCCCCCCTCCTCCTATGGTGTCAAAATAATCCCCTCCCCTCCTCCTATGGTGTCAAAATAATCCCCCCCCTCCTCCTATGGTGTCAAAATAATCCCCCCCCCCCCTCCTCCTATGGTGTCAAAATAATCCCCCCCCCCTTCCTCCTATGGTGTCAAAATAATCCCCCCCCCCCCCTTCCTCCTATGGTGTCAAAATAATCCCCCCCCCCTTCCTCCTATGGTGTCAAAATAATCCCCCCCCCCCCTTCCTCCTATGGTGTCAAAATAATCCCCCCCCCTTCCTCCTATGGTGTCAAAATAATCCCCCCCCCCCCTTCCTCCTATGGTGTCAAAATAATCCCCCCTTCCTCCTATGGTGTCAAAATCCCCCCCCCCTCCTATGGTGTCAAAATAATCCCCCCTCCTATGGTGTCAAAAGAATTCCCCCCCTCCCCACCATGGTGTCAAAATATACCCCCCCCCCCATGGTGTCAAAATAATCCCCCTCAGGGTGTCACAAACAACCCTTCTCCCCCCATTGTGTCAAAGACAAGTCTACCCTGCTATTGTGCCAAGATAAGTTACCACCCCCCCCCCCATGGTGTCACAGATAAGTTCCCCCCCCATGGTGTCACAGATAAGTCCCCCCCCCCCCCCCCCCCCCCCCCCCCCCGATGTCCTGGGTAAGTCCCACCTCCTATGGTGTCCCGGATAGGTCCCCCCTCTCTGTTTGTCCTGATTACAATTATCACCAGCAGTTCTGGTGACAACTAAGGATCCCTTCACATTAGAGGGATTTCCTCTCACTTCCTGTTTTGCCAACAGAACAGGAAGTGAGACAGAATAGCAACAAAAAATTAAAAAATGCATGTCTAACAAATTATGCCGTGATTTGCATGTTCAGGAGGGAAATATCTGTGGAGGGAGCTGAAAGTTCGAGTTGCTAAACATCAGCCACCAAACCTTAATGACTTGGAGAGGATCTGCCAAGAGGAGTGGGCCAAAGTCCCTCCTGAGATGTGTGCAAACCTGGGGGCCAACTACAGGAAACTTCTGACCTCTGTGATTGCCAACAAGGATTTGCCACCAAGTACTAAGTCATGTTTTGTGAAGGGGATCAAATACTTATTTCCCTCATGAACATGCAAATCAGTCATCATTTGTTAGACATGCATTTCTGCGGAATTTTGTGTTGCTATTCTGTCTCTCAGTGTTACAATACACCGAACATTCGATTTTTAGACCAATTCATTTCTTTGTGAGGGGCGAACATTCAAAATCAGCCGGGGATCAAATACTTATTTCCTTCATTGTAGGTAAAGTAGAGCTGAGCTCAGTCAGGATGCAGATAAGATTTGGCTGAGCATGAGGGAGGTGGACAGGGAAGAGAGGAGGCGGAGCGGAGTGTTGCCGAGGGTCGGACAAGGGAGAGAGGAGGCGGAGCGGAGTGTTGCCGAGGGTCGGACAAGGGAGAGAGGAGGCGGAGCGGAGTGTTGCCGAGGGTCGGACAAGGGAGAGAGGAGGCGGAGCGGAGTGTTGCCGAGGGTCGGACAAGGGAGAGAGGAGGCGGAGCGGAGTGTTGCCGAGGGTCGGACAAGGGAGAGAGGAGGCGGAGCGGAGTGTTGCCGAGGGTCGGACAAGGGAGAGAGGAGGCGGAGCGGAGTGTTGCCGAGGGTCGGACAAGGGAGAGAGGAGGCGGAGCGGAGTGTTGCCGAGGGTCGGACAAGGGAGAGAGGAGGCGGAGCGGAGTGTTGCCGAGGGTCGGACAAGGGAGAGAGGAGGCGGAGCGGAGTGTTGCCGAGGGTCGCACAAGGGAGAGAGGAGGCGGAGCGGAGTGTTGCCGAGGGTCGCACAAGGGAGAGAGGAGGCGGAGCGGAGTGTTGCCGAGGGTCGGACAAGGGAGAGAGGGAGGCGGAGCGGAGTGTTGCCGAGGGTCGGACAAGGGAGAGAGGAGGCGGAGCGGAGTGTTGCCGAGGGTCGGACAGTGGTGAGAGGAGGCAGAAATGGAGCGGAGTGTTGCCGAGGGGCGGACAGGGGTGAGAGGAGGCAGAAGGAGAGCGGAGTGTTGCCGAGGGGGACAGGGGTGAGAGGAGGCAGAAGGAGAGCGGAGTGTTGCCGAGGGGCGGACAGGGGTGAGAGGAGGCAGAAGGGGAGCGGAGTGTTGCCGAGGGGCGGACAGGGGTGAGAGGAGGCAGAAGGGGAGCGGAGTGTTGCCGAGGGGCGGACAGGGGTGAGAGGAGGCAGAAGGGGAGCGGAGTGTTGCCGAGGGGCGGACAGGGGTGAGAGGAGGCAGAAGGGGAGCGGAGTGTTGCCGAGGGGCGGACAGGGGTGAGAGGAGGCAGAAGGGGAGCGGAGTGTTGCCGAGGGGCGGACAGGGGTGAGAGGAGGCAGAAGGGGAGCGGAGTGTTGCCGAGGGGCGGACAGGGGTGAGAGGAGGCAGAAAGGGAGTGGACAGGGGTGAGAGGAGGCAGAAAGGGAGCGGACAGGGGTGAGAGGAGGCAGAAAGGGAGCGGAGTGTTGCCGAGGGGCGGACAGGGGTGAGGGGAGGCAGAAAGGGAGTGGACAGGGGTGAGAGGAGGCAGAAAGGGAGCGGAGTGTTGCCGAGGGGCGGACAGGGGTGAGAGGAGGCAGAAAGGGAGCGGAGTGTTGCCGAGGGGCGGACAGGGGTGAGGGGAGGCAGAAAGGGAGTGGACAGGGGTGAGAGGAGGCAGAAAGGGAGCGGAGTGTTGCCGAGGGGCGGACAGGGGTTAGAGGAGGCAGAAAGAGAGCGGAGTGTTGTCGAGGGGCGGACGGGTGAGGGGAGGCAGAAAGAGAGCGGAGTGTTGCCGAGGGGCGGACAGGGGTGAGGGGAGGCAGAAAGAGAGCGGAGTGTTGCCGAGGGGCGGACAGGGGTGAGAGGAGGCAGAAGGAGAGCGGAGTGTTGCCGAGGGGCGGACAGGGGTGAGAGGAGGCAGAAAGGGAGCGGAGTGTTGCCGAGGGGCAGACAGGGGTTAGAGGAGGCAGAAAGAGAGCGGAGTGTTGTCGAGGGGCGGACAGGGGTGAGGGGAGGCAGAAAGAGAGCGGAGTGTTGCCGAGGGGCGGACAGGGGTGAGGGGAGGCAGAAAGAGAGCGGAGTGTTGCCGAGGGGCGGACAGGGGTGAGAGGAGGCAGAAGGAGAGCGGAGTGTTGCCGAGGGGCGGACAGGGGTGAGAGGAGGCAGAAAGGGAGCGGAGTGTTGCCGAGGGGCGGACAGGGGTGAGAGGAGGCAGAAAGGGAGTGGACAGGGGTGAGAGGAGGCAGAAAGGGGGCGGAGTGTTGCCGAGGGGCGGACAGGGGTGAGAGGAGGCAGAAAGGGAGTGGACAGGGGAGAGAGGAGGCAGAAAGGGAGCGGAGTGTTGCCGAGGGGCGGACAGGGGTTAGAGGAGGCAGAAAGAGAGCGGAGTGTTGCCGAGGGGCGGACAGGGGTGAGGGGAGGCAGAAGGAGAGCGGAGTGTTGCCGAGGGGCGGACAGGGGTGAGAGGAGGCAGAAAGGGAGCGGAGTGTTGCCGAGGGGCGGACAGGGGTGAAAGGAGGCAGAAGGAGAGCGGAGTGTTGCCGAGGGGCGGACAGGGGTGAGGGGAGGCAGAAAGAGAGCGGAGTGTTGCCGAGGGGCGGACAGGGGTGAGAGGAGGCAGAAGGAGAGCGGAGTGTTGCCGAGGGGCGGACAGGGGTGAGAGGAGGCAGAAAGGGAGCGGAGTGTTGCCGAGGGGCGGACAGGGGTGAGAGGAGGCAGAAAGGGAGTGGACAGGGGTGAGAGGAGGCAGAAAGGGAGCGGAGTGTTGCCGAGGGGCGGACAGGGGTGAGAGGAGGCAGAAAGGGAGTGGACAGGGGTGAGAGGAGGCAGAAAGGGAGCGGAGTGTTGCCGAGGGGCGGACAGGGGTTAGAGGAGGCAGAAAGAGAGCGGAGTGTTGCCGAGGGGGGCGGACAGGGGTGAGGGGAGGCAGAAAGAGAGCGGAGTGTTGCCGAGGGGCGGACAGGGGTGAGGGGAGGCAGAAAGAGAGCGGAGTGTTGCCGAGAGGCGGACAGGGGTGAGAGGAGGCAGAAGGAGAGCGGAGTGTTGCCGAGGGGCGGACAGGGGTGAGAGGAGGCAGAAAGGGAGCGGAGTGTTGCCGAGGGGCGGACAGGGGTGAAAGGAGGCAGAAGGAGAGCGGAGTGTTGCCGAGGGGCGGACAGGGGTGAGAGGAGGAGGCAGAAAGGGAGCGGAGTGTTGCCGAGGGGCGGACAGGGGTGAGAGGAGGCAGAAAGGGAGCGGAGTGTTGCCGAGGGGCGGACAGGGGTGAGAGGAGGCAGAAAGGGAGCGGAGTGTTGCCGAGGGGCGGACAGGGGTGAGAGGAGGCAGAAAGGGAGCGGAGTGTTGCCGAGGGGCGGACAGGGGTGAGAGGAGGCAGGAAGAGAGTCGAATGTTGCCAAGGGGCGGACAGGGGACGCAAAAGGGGAGAGCAGAATGTTGCCGAGGTGCGGACAGGGGACGCAAAGGGGGAGAGCAGGATGTTGCCGAGGGGCGGACAGGGGACGCAAAGGGGGAGAGCAGGATGTTGCCGAGGGGCGGACAG